GTGTAACTTCTTTTAAGAAAAAATTGGACATTTTGTATTTTTTGAAAGATGCAATGAATGAATGTGATCGCTACTTACGTGCAATGCTCTGAACCTGATCATGATAAGTGTATCCAAGAATTCTATGGTACAGTCTAATAGCCTATACTAGTCACTCATTGAATCTAGTCGAATGCATGTCATAAAATGGATAGGATTAATTCCTCAACTTCAAAGAGTACTTTTTTTTCATTATTTAAGTAAATTTGTATGCAATGAACGATTAAAGTTCTGACGGTCAATACCCCGACCAAATCACAAATTATAAGTTCGTTCTCATCCCTGCACATTTCAGTGCTTCCAACTCTTGAAATTCCAAAGACTTTTGATTAAAGAATATCAAATTGTCACAGCCAAGTTGATGGCGCGTCTTCCTGCAATCCAACAAGCTCTGACAAGAAAGACCTTAGAGAGAGACGTCTCTACGAGCAAACTCTTAAGATAACTTGAGTAGCACTCATGTACATTCATTAATAAATCAAAAATTTGAATCACAATAATATCAAATTACGCAGAATCAAAGTTCATAATTTTAAAACGTCATCTCAACAACATTGACCGTCATCCCTGAACAAATCATTTATGTAACGTGAGTTAGTGGTAAATTTCCAGACTGTAATCTGCGCATGGAAATCTACAAAATGTGAAATTGGACAAAATGGTTTTAATTCACTAGGATATTGAAACAAAATTCATTCATCATAATGCAGCATTCATAATAGTTCTTTTTTCATGACCACTCACAATCTCAATCAATTTCTTTGTCCATGCTTTTTGAACATGATATATGCAAAGAAATACAAGGTTATGTGAAAAAACAATATGTAATGCAAGTCTTTCATTGTCAGCACAATCCGTCATGAAGGAGGAGGGCATTCATCCAAGGATATAATGTTTGGCGATCTTCTTCACTGCAGATGATAATTCCACCACATCTTGTGTTTCTTCTCTTTTGAGAAATCTAAAAATAGTAGGATGTCCGTGTTCATATTCGTTGAACACCATAAGGGTGTACAGTGGATATTTCATTGCAAAAAATAAAATAAACGTATGAGTTTGCTGCTAGCATTCGTCTATAAAGTCCTCATCTTCATTGATACTAAGCTAAACTTGATAAAAATGAATGATTCACTATTTTTATGTATTGATAAGCTAGACGTGATCAAGGTATATAAAACAATATATACATCACATATTGAGAAGTTCAATAACGTCTTACTAAACAAGTTAAAGTTCCAAACCGTCATTTTTCCAAGTATCTTGCAGATATTGCAAATTGTGAGGTAGAATATAAATAATCATGGAAGCTTGATGATAAAAACATCAGAATTGACAAGTTGAATATTACCTTATACTTCTGTGTGCCATGCGTTCCATCCATAGCAACACAACCTCCAAATCCATGTTTTAGCAACCTTTCTAGGAGCAAGGGTCTTGTAACAGCAAGCCTCAATGGTTTAAATGAATCACTTTTTGGTGCCTGGTATGGAACAACTTGAGATGAATTCGCTTTCATCCATAATTCTGTGCTAATTCTATCATTAACATGCCTCCTCCAAGTTTCTTTGTCGATTTCCAATTTGATATTATACAAATCATCAGATGTGATATAATGATCTCTAAAAGGTGTCCCTTGCACATAGCCTAAGCTCTGATGATTTTCAAATAGTGCTTTTGCAGCACGCATGAGAATTTGTGGAGGAGTTAAACCTCTTCTTAACTCGCATTCAACTCACTTTTTGGCAAAAGAACGTAAAAAATATTAGACAACGTACTTGCTTAGCGTCAAAGTTTTACAAATTGTAATAACAGCAAACTTGTTGTACATATTACAAATATGACAGACGATTAACTGTGAATGTAAACAAATACATTGAAAGTATTACAAATACGTCGTTACATGCACTCGGAGGATAAATTGCGCCCCATCTGAGATGGCAAGACAAGCTACAGCTGCAGCATTTACGTGTCTTCTATGCTTGTATAGCAACTTTGTGGTCCCTGGTGGAATGTGATCATTATGCAGCAGTTGAATGACACTAAACCTGCACTTACAGCCCTTGTGGTGAGAATCATGATCTAATCTATACATGTTGCCTGGACCGATATGATTTCAATTGATGCCTGGATTGATGTATCTTGAATACAATTTGAGCTAAGTATACTCTTCTTGCCCCTTTCTCGAGTACCATATTTTCAATAGTACATTGTATATGATTCCCAGCGGTGCCTAGCACCTCCACCCTTGCATGAGCAACTTGTCACAAATTTTTGTCTTCACATCACTATAACAAGATGCCTCTCCCGAAACAATATCGTTAAGCCTTGAGCTTTTGATGTAGGCCGTCTCATTCAACCAATTCAAGATTAACAAATTGAAAGGGCCATCCCACGGTGGATCCTCACAATCCATCCTGCCTTCATGCTATCACCACACCTGCAAAAAGCACTTGAAATGACAAGAAAAGTACAAGCACAAGCTCTGGCACGAGCTTCTCACAGCACTGACACTGGCACCCAAAAGCGACGTCGAAACATCGACGAGCTGGAGTATATCGATGTGACACTATTTTCAAAAACCCTAAACTTTGCCGCCTGAAATTTTGTCGCCACAATATGTTATCATTGTTTGATTTACAAATATTACAGTTTGAATTTATTAGGGATTCCAATTGAACTATCACTCCTGAGGTTTAGTTTTAGTTTAACTAAAACAGCGGCATCTACAGTGATAGCCTCTACATGGTTGTTGAAATTTAATCCGGTTGACGGACTCTACATGGTTGTCGGAAAGTCGGGTCCGCCGACCCTCAAATTCCCAGAACTGAGATAAAATCCGACTAACTCGGGGCTGCCCGAATGGAGCATGAAGCAAGAAAGAAAGAGTAGAAAGAAATCTGGATCCCTGACACCTGGCTGAACGGCAGTTTGTATAAGTTTGTGCAAGTAAGCGAGTCCCATGTTAACGGGACTGCATGAAGAGAAAATATGGCTAATCGAGGTAAAGATATGTTGACATGATTTAGTGTTTAAGAGCTCTTACCGCATCCTTGAGTACAGACTGTTTCCTCTTATGATTCATCATGGCCTCAATCTTCAATGATTTAGCTCGATTTGAGGCAGTTGCTTGAGCCCAAAAGCTTCTGGAACCTGACGTAGTAAGTGGGATGCGGGTAGAGTTTAAGATAGAGTGTAGTGGGAGGAACATGAGGCTGGGAGAGTGGACAAAATTCACAAAGTTCAATTTATGGCTATATAGGAAGGATAAAGAATTGTAATCAAACGTACAAACACCAATAAGGAATTTCATAATTCGGTGTAGATATTATATATGGATTTCCAATAACATTTGGGGTTATTATCATTCAAATCATAGGATAGCTTCAAGCTAATCTGACATAATACATTATCTTAATTATTTGAAAAAGACAGAGATGTTCACCCTCCACACCGTGAGTTACTGCTCTAAACTCTCTAAAGATTCGAAAGAGGTTTTCTGTTTCCACTATGGCACTTCGAGGAAACCTCTTCTTCAGCTATGCCCACTTCAGTAAATTGCAGGAAGTCACCCATCGCCACTTACTGCAGCAATTAATCCACACTGATTTGATTGTAGACATGGGCACGGATGGTAAACATACACGTCTTATGACATGGTCGGGACTATTGCGCTTTTCTGAAACCCTTCCAGGTAGACGATCCCGAAAGCCATAGCAGTAAAAAGGAGGTATTTACATGCGAAGCTTATGTCGTGCTGGGATAGAGGAAGACGAGGAGAATAGCCCAGACGGAAGAGGAAAACAGCATGCAAGGTTCAGTGATGGGAAGGGACGGGGAGAGAAACGGAGAGAAGGCTGACATCTAGCTTTTAGAAAGCTCTGGGAGAAAGAAGTAAACCAAGCAAAACTTGAAACCCCGCCAATTCTCTCAAAGCGTAACTCATCAGCTTGAATGGAGAAATCATTCAACAAATCGCCACCTCCGAGGTAGCCTTACCCGCCATCGCCAATCCGAGAGAGTGCGGAACAAGATAATCTAAACGAAAATGCTACACGGTCTCGTCTTGGGACGAAACGAGAAACCCGTGGGTGACGTGACAGCGAAACCCACTAGGTGACGGTGACGGTGAAACACCAAGGGTGTACGTACGCCGTCATCCCGGAGAGCATACGGTCGGGGTTGATCTAGCAGGCCAGATAAACCCCGACCGTATGCCTGTGGGCTGACGGCGTATGGTCACCGTCGTGACGGTCTCTCCTTTGTCACCGTAGCGCACCCTCTAGAAACCGTTCGATGTATTTATTCAACATAACCTTCCAATCTCAGCGTTCTACCGCTGGCTGCTCCGTAGCTGCTTTGTCGATCGGAGTGTTTAGGGTTCACAGGATTAGAATTCATGCAGCCAGCTGGTGGGATCATTCCTGAGACACGGCCGTCACTTCTGATAATAAGGATTCCTCGGAATAATGAGGAAAATAAGCACCATCCTTGTGATCGAGGCCTAGACATGAACCATTCATAAACGCTATTGGATTGTGTTCAGGGCATACCCGCCACAGCTCTGTAGCTAACAGTGTGCTCGAAGTGTTTGAGCTTTACATTACTAAATTTCATCCTACCAGATTTTGGTAAATGTACACGACCACAACAATATCTCTCGTATCCGAGGATCCCTACAAGACTTCCTGTAGACACAACAAATCTGCTACCAAGTCAGGGGAAAACACATACTTTTCAACCAAGAGCACAGATATCTTTGTTTTGTTCGGTGGGATGGTGCTCCAATGAAGGAGCTTTCCATAAATTTGAACAAGCCGCTTCTGTGTCCCGCACACGGTATTCCTTAGTAAAAGGCGAAAGAATAGTTCGCTCTGGGTTGAACACAGTGCTGATGCGAATACTCGCCGAAGCTGCAAGAATATGATCCCGCACGAAGGCTCTTGTCGCGCACACTATTCCATCGCTCCGGCACGTTTCACACATCCGCTGTACATGGGTCGAATTTGAATCCCGAGAGAGAGCACTCGACGGGTGACCTCTTGATGTGACGGTGACAAAGAGAGATCGTCACGACGGTGACCGTATGCCGTCAGCCCGCAGTCATACGGTCGGTGTTGTTCTAGCCTGGAGTTTTATTAGCTCACATTCCATGCAGCTGTGAATCCCCAAATTAATTTCTTCAGTGGCTTTACACGCATCTACATGGCTGTGAACCTCTGATTCATGAGCTTTGGCCAAAGTTTGGGTCTTGACCGTCTTCTAAATCTGGAAGTATGATCGTGTTTATTACGTAAGGTTCCAATCACCTTCTCTCTGATGGCTTTTAAACTTCCTGCTTGAGATTTGGACTCGACGTCAGGTTGACTGTCAGCAATGCTGAGCTCTTGGTATCGGTCGACGATATCGAACATGCATAGACATGTACAGGGATATCAATCACGCGGATAGATCGAGCTTTGACCCGGAATCTTTGGCGTTTCCTGCTGCGCAACGAGGGACTGTGAAAAGGTTCTTACGTCGAGAACTTAATTGCTCGTGGAGCTTCCACTAAGGCGTGAGTTCGATTCAGTTCATCTTGAAGTACTAAATTTAGGTGCCAGAATGTCGTGTTCATGGACGCCATATCTTTTCTCGAATCTGGTGATGGTGATGTCGTTGCGTTTTGCCTTCGTGCGCTTACAGTCTCTGATTTTCATGCGTCCATGTTTCCGACTACTTACTACAATCCGTGTCACTTGGTGTCAGTCTGCCAACTGTTCAACATATCTACTATCTACTCAGATCCTATCTTTTGACACCGCCATGGTAAGCTTCCGATTGCGCTTTATCACAATTTCTTTCGCCTCTTACAAAGGACAGCTGGGGAAGGATATTAGGATAATCATCCCGTGGGGTTGTGCTCTGTCTTGTCACTTTAGCTGCTCCGAAGCGATAGTTGTGATTCAAGATTAAAATCCTATGGTGTTTCCTGTGCCTTACCAATCGACCTGTGCTTCAGACAGGGTGTAATTATAGTAGCAGTATGTTATTCCACATCATAGTGGTCGCCAAGCGAAATTGGCATATGCCGTTTGGAGACCGTGATAGAATAGGAGACAGACTTTGAGGTAACCCTCAAGTCCGCGTATTGTTTTGGCACAGTTATGACTCGAATCCCTTCCATGGTATATTGAAAGGCGCTCCTAAGGACTGTGCGGGATTGAGATTGCCAAATCCTTTCAAAATCTCAGTTTCTACACTTCCTTGGGCGATCTAGAGCAAGTGGGTACACTTTGGGTACAGTTTTCGATCGATTGTTCATTCTGAGGCATGATGGATCAGTTTTCTGGCTTGGCTCCTAGGAGCTTGTCGCACAGTTTGAATCAGATTCGATCATTTGGGGAAAGGATCCTCATTTCCATCGCAGCTACTATATGGCACCAAGATACTACTTTTAAGTGTTTCCTCAGGATATTGAGATTGGTTTCTAGTCGGAATATCATGGTTAGCATGGTGTAATCTTCGAAGGAATTAAAAGCTTCCGTTCTATATCACTCGTCCATGTCGCTGATGTCACTGGCTTCCATTGTCCTCTCGGTTCAATCTGCACGACTAGTTTGTCCACTCAGTAATTTGTCGTGTTGGAACCAATTCTCTTCAGCGACCCCGAAAGGACTCCAAGCGAGCTGGGGTTATAAAAATCATCATAGTGGAGAGACTGACGATTACTGCTCGGCTGGGTGTGCACCAAGCTACGTGCGATACTTCCACTACGTTTGAATCCAGATCTCCAGATAGTGTAGACCTACGACAGACCTTCTCAACGACACTACGGTAATTCTAACAAATGTTACGAAAGTGAATGCCATAATGTAGTGAGCCTGCAAAGTAGGAAGGTGTTTGATTCTATGTACCCACCAGTGGAATGGATCAGTTCTCTGGCTTGGCTCCGGAGAGCAAATCGCACAGTTCGAATCAGCTTCGATCATTCGGGGAAAGGATCCTCATTTCCATCCACTCGAACAAAAACATACGACCTATCACTCCCAACACCCGCCCACCTTAACCTACAAGCCCTCTGCCATCTACATTATTGATTCCTCAGCACCTGTTGGGATAATTTTTGTAATCACAGATTTCATGATTAGCATGGGGTAATCATCACCGGAATCGACGAACCTGACCTGTATCCAGCCTAGCACAGTCCATGATCCTCTCAGTTAGTTGTCGTGTTGGAACCAATTCTCTTCAGCGACCCCGAAGGGACTCCAAGCGAGCTGGGGTTATAAAAATCATCACAGAGGACCATGGATGCTAGGATATCTGCATAGAGCGCAATATGGAGAACGAGCCACAGAAGCTGCAGTCGTTCCGTCATTTCCACACCAGAGGTGAACAGACTGAATCAAAACAAGGTTGGTGCCACTCTACGTAAGCCACGGTTGATCCAAAATAAGTTTCATGAATATCCTCAATTACTCGTAGATTGCACACAGACGCCAGCTCGATGTAAAATCTACAAGAAATTGAAGACAATCGAAGTATTCAGCTGCTGTGTACACTTGAACAATACAGACTTAATGAAGCAGCACTCTTGCTCAAACCCTGGGAAACGGATGACAGGACTACTAACTCCAACTCACTTCGACTAGCTTACTCTCTCCGAACGGCAATTTGATCTTTATGGCCGAAGGCAGAGAATTTGAGAAAACCCTAGAGAGGCAGAAGGAGCGACAGGACGCAAAAATTAGGGTTTGACGTCCCACTCGCAAAACGATAAGGAAAGTTAGGAGACACCGGAACGCCTCGTTCCCATCGCCACCTCGTAAACCCGTACTGACCACGTAGATCACTAATGACCTACAACAATCCAGTTGGTATCAACGGGGTTGGTCTCATGGTCATTAAGGACACGTGACGAGACCGTGACCTTGGGGACACACGAGAAGCATACCTTAGAGGGCCTAATTTGCAAAGACACGAGATTGAACAGATTAGCCGAAGAATTAAAAGTTGAGAGGCTTCGTTCCTTAGTTCACATCGAACAAGTTTTTTTACCAATACCTTCTGATCATGTAACTCAATACGCAGCCATCAAATAAAACGAAATGGCATACGCTCTATGTATGCCTTCATTATTAGAAGCACTCTTCAACCGAAAAACGATGAAGACATTATCATTGTTGTCTAACATTTTTTGAACTTATCCTGAAAATTATAATAGCCTAATGACTACGATGCCAAGCGGATTTCCAATCAAGAAGTTTCTTTCATTTGTCTGACAGTATAAACGTCAAATTCTACATCTAAATTTGTTGGAGATATGCGCACCTTTATTATCATGATCATCAGTAGTATTTTCTCAAAAGATGATAATTGAGTTCAATCTTTCCGATAGATTTGTATCAGAGTATATTTTTTTTCAACTGCATGATTGATTTAAAAATTCCTATAATTTATATGAATTTAAATAACTTGATATTTTCACATGTCTGATTTGAAGTTAACAAATCAAAGTTACTAGAACATTCAAAACGTCACAATTTAGAGCATTGCCAAATGGAATATGCGGATTTAAGACTGTAACAACCCCTAAGATATATAAAAGTTAATGAATGTTTAACTTACCGTGGAAATTTGATTGTTTGGATGTGAAAAAAATATTCAATAGCTGAACGCACATAAACCTACAAATAATGAGTATCTTGAACGATTTGATGTCCATCCACAGAATGTTGGACTCCATTCCTAGTCTACCATTCACGACAACAAAGTGATTCATCAAGTTTAATATTTTAAGGTTTACTTATTCATTTGGAAGTCTTCCTACTATATATAGATCTCAACATTATGTTTCCTGATGCATTGCATACAACAAACAGAGTATTTATTTGATGTTGTTCCACTGCTCCAAAAAAAACTGAATCATAAGTTTGATCTCATATTTTGAAAGAGTTGACTTCAGACATTTTTGGCACTTTCAATAATTTTATTCATGAATATATACTTTTTAATTAATTTAATTCACCTAGTTTGAATTAAATCCAATATAAGATCATGCTTTCAATCCAAAGTCTCATTATGTTTTTATCAACATTATTAATTAGTATTACTAATCTGCAGTAGAAATATGCAAAATCCTTAACACAATGAGCATCTTCTTATCATGTAGTGAAGATAAAAATGTGCATGGATGAAATTTTCTTTACTGAAGGAGATTAGCGGCTAATTGCCATTCCGACTCAGCCACCTCAATCTGCATCCATTGAGAGTTGAACTCAAGACCTCCCGCTTACAAAACGCGTGCTCTAGCCGACTGAGCTATAGAAGCTCATGAAAATTTCGATCACTTTAGAAATCCAACCTTGGACATCAATTATCAACTTTATATTTCCTCAAAGGTCACATAATATTTCATGTAAAATATGAGATGTTTTGATTGCATGATTTTTCTAGACTTTATATTCAACTTGTTTTGATATATTTATTTTTTTCAAAAAATTTCATATTTAATAAATATAATCACAAGTGGCTGTTTCTATTGAACTTTTTGGCTGTAAAAAATTTTAAAAATTGATAATTTTTCTAAATTTCTCTTCCTTTTGAAAAATTTGTTACATATTTTTCTTTGCACTTAAACTGAAAAGTAGTAGTTTTTGTAACAAATAATATGTAGTTTTTTAAGATAAATATTTCAGTTTTGATCCATCTTTTAAAATGTCTAATGATCATTTATTGATGACATTTAATTTGAAATTGCATCTAATTGATTTTTTGTTAAAATTGTTTTGCAGTATTCATTTTAGTAATTTGAAAATGGAAAAGTATCGACGAAAAGCATCTCTTCAGTATCAAGGATATGGTTCAATATTTGTCAAAGTTGAGTGTGATGCATGAAAAAGAAGATCTGGTTTGATACTACACTCTTATGCTGAAAAGTTTATAATCGTGAATAACATTTTGTTTGACGCTTAAGTTTGAAAAGATTTAACTCATAATTGAAGTACTCCCATAATCTGCTAGCCCAAGAAGAGTTAGGAAGACATGGAACGTTTATGACACGAAATCAAATTTATTTGCAATAAACGCTCCATGTCTTCCTAACTCTTCTTGGGCTAGCAGATTATGGGAGTACTTCAATTATGAGTTAAATCTTTTCAAACTTAAGCGTCAAACAAAATGTTATTCACGATTATAAACTTTTCAGCATAAGAGTGTAGTATCAAACCAGATCTTCTTTTTCATGCATCACACTCAACTTTGACAAATATTGAACCATATCCTTGATACTGAAGAGATGCTTTTCGTCGATACTTTTCCATTTTCAAATTACTAAAATGAATACTGCAAAACAATTTTAACTTCTAGAAGTTGGTTTATGCTTGATGGCAAAAATATGTCAATTTTGTTGGGTTTTTTCACTTTTAGTACATGAAAAAACGTGAGAGTATTATGAGGAAATTTGGATGATGAACGATTTCGATCCAAATCTCTTCTTAAATGTATTACAAAAGTTTCTCAAATCAGCTCTTGGTTCGGTCTCATCACCCTTCATTCTCCCATGGATTGGAATCATTTAGAAGTGTTCTAATTGTGTTTATAGTTGACATAAACAAATCCATTTAGCCAACAATTCTCATTGTACATGCTATCAAACAATGATGACATGTTGCTTTTTACTACCACTACGTACTATCAAAGTGTGATTCAAGACTACCACACTCTTGAATCAAATCAACTACACTTGACTTAGTATTATACTTTTGACGCAACTCTTCTTACATCTGCCACAATATCAATTGATTTAACTACATATCTAATATGGAAAGTGACATGAAACATGTGTACAAAAACTATTGCCATAATATATATTGATTTAATTGTATATCTGATATGGGAAGTGACATGAACCAGGTGTACACAAACTCCGCGAGACACATTGGAATCGCTATAAACTAGATCCAAGATTGTTGCAATTGATAACGAATACATTTTTGTGATTGAATCAAAGAGTAGTGCAAATTGCATGATGAAACAGAATGGCAAAACCTTCCCAGACGGATAAATTTTTGCATACATTTCACGTTGAATTACAAGGTCTATAAAAAATAAAGTACATGTCAAGACCTCTGCAGATAAGTCATTCTTAAAATAGATGTATATGTCTAATCTTATGTTTCGGAAACGCTTACTCTCAAAATTGTGTGGCGGAGTAGTTCATAGTGTCAAATTTGCAAATGGTATAATTTTTGAATGTGACTACATCGCTCGTTACACGGTTGAATATGTCTCATCAACATAAGTTTGATCTTCAAATTTTAGAATGAGATGCTGACACGAGTTGTGTCATTGCTGTTGCATACAGAATATGTATCTCATTTAATCGAGAGTGCAAAGTTGATGCGAAGACTCCAAAAATGATCATTGAAAATGCGTTTGATTCAACATTCCGCCTCGATAACTATCTCATTCATCTCAATAGTTAGCATCCATTCCCTTCGGAGAAATATCAGACACAATCTAACAAATTTAAGCTTGTTTACTTTGACATCAAGATATTTTTTGTCAACACAATTTTATCACATTTTGATCGAGAAACAAATCATGTGGACCACACCATGGATATGATCATGATTAAGTACATAATTAGAGAAATGTTATGGGACTTAAAGATGTTGAAGCTAAATCTACAACAAGACCATGCACATGTGCACGTTCAATCTTGATACGGATAATTCTTATGTGATGATCAAGATCTCAATAACATATCACATCGCAATCAAATACATTGGCATTGATATTAGACTATGTTAGTGTTCCAAGGAACAAAGTGCTTAAAAACATGGTTCCTAACCTCGATGGAATGAATGATTTGAAAATTTAATGCAGTGACAACTTCCATATCATTGCTAATATTCTCTACATGATGTGAACATTCTTGATTGTGCTAGATGACTTCACTTGCATGGATACTTCATGCATTGATGTTTGCACTCGTTTGTTTGGCGTTGCAAGTTCTACAATCTGCAACTCATTTCAATTTCGTTTTTCGAATCACATATTGGTTTGTAACAGTTTGAAATCCTATGCAAATTATTATTTGTAATTTTATCCAACCGGAGGAATAAATTGATCGATACATTGTTTGAGAAAGCTTGAAACATGACTGATCATATTGCTGGTGTTATCACGTGGCTGCAACAATGTTCATTGGAAGTATTCATTCATGTGTGATATCTTCTTCATCAATTGGATATTCCCCTACCGGTCGCATACTTGAAACTCGATGATGGTGCATGATAATGCGATACTAATATCTATGATTTTGCGTTTGCGCCGACAACTGACACCTATTTGCAAGATGAGATCAACTTGTTTTAAGACATATACGACAATTCGATGACACATTATGTGTAGTGCCACAAGATTTTTTGATGATCATCGTCACAAGATCAATGTCCACTATTTTAAAATTCCAGTAGACCCTTTTTGGCGTGCATCTCAACTTGAGAGTGATGTATGATGGTGTCTAAATTTCGTCACAAGAATCATCACGAGTGTCATACACAAAACGATGATGCGACTCCAAGGTCATCGTCCGATGTTCAGCCAACAACAAACAAATGTTTAACAGTTGATCGTTGAGTTAATGCTCACTATCGATGCATCTCAAAACTCCGGCGTTGACAATCTGGACAATTTTGCTCATGTCATATGCAATGATTGGTCGGTTTCCTACATTGACATCACATGCTTCATTGAAGATCTTGATCATTTAGCTTTGATTATGATCACCAGTCTCATTGAACCAACTTGACAGTTACTTTTTCATAACGTTGCGTTACTTATTTTTAACATCTTTTATGGATTTATGGATTGTTTAGCAAGGGGAAATGAAAGTGTCTCGAACAAAGAATTCGATTGTACATCAATGTTACCTTTTTGAACTAGTGAAGCTTAAAGTTTGTGATATCAACCGCCTAATCATCCAAGAGAATACTCGTGTTCAATGTATATGGTATTCCTACTATATTGACAAAGTTGGTTCGGAATTTGAAAAGCTTTGCACCATGTACAAGAATGTCTCACTTTAGCTAAACCATCACTCGTGATCACTGCACTGTATGTTGCTACTTTTCTATGATGAAATTTCGCAAATACAGTTAATACATATTTTTAGAATTTGAAACAATGGAGCAATAAAACATGTCTATATTACTGTCTTTAAGTTTATGATAGTGGCTATGCCTAATCACATTAGGGATTTGCGCCTAATTTACTTCAAATTAGGCACTTTAGTCATGTGCCTAACCCACAAGGCCTCTAGTTATGTGCCTAATCTACAAAGGCCTTGATGTGTGTAGAACTGCCTTGATGTACAATACATTTTAGATGAACCTCCTCGCCCCAAAAAGACCGATTTGCTGCTTCTGTCGTTGTAATAAAAACTCCATCTTTTCTTTCCGCTACTCAATATCACCGCACTCGCCAAAGCCCATTCCTTTCTTTCTTTTCCATCTTTTTAATTATCCACATAAAAGGTGTTTCCCTTGGGAATGTTCATATCCAGCAGCATTACCTTTTATGCATGCATACTAGGGATGCCATAAATAGGCTTCCTAGAGGTCTTCCACATGTAGTCGCCTATTGGTATCCATCCAGACCTTGAATATTTATATTCAAAAAATCTTATGCCAAAAGTACAGGCCCCCTCCTAAATGTCAACGCTAAGAAAGTTGATCTGTGTTATAACCTGCTTGAGTGAATTTCACGTGTTACAGCATACTTCAGACAATTCCTCTGAATTCCGAGCAGCTGACTCAACACAGCTCTGTAAACTGATGATAAAGTCTTTCTCAAATTCATACACGTCCTAAGATGTGCTCAATAAGTTAGTCGCAGCACCCTCCATTTCTTCTGCAACTCCACGTAATTATTACTAAGCTGGCCAGAGCTATGACAAGACTTCGAAATAGCAAACGAGGGAGAGGCTAAAAATACGCTGCAACGTGAATTATGTTGTTCTCGACTATATGAGAGTCTACATTCATAGGAATTAGTAGTAACCCTTCCACTTCAATTATATCAAGTTGGAAGAATGTCAACCATAACTAGGTTGACGGTATGAAAACTTTACAAGCCCTACCTCATCGGGAACAACCAAACTACCAGATCAAGTGAACAATATATGAGAAGTTTTCATTAGAGAAAAAATTCCGTCGTGACAGACTCTCTTGCAAATTATGAATGAGATTGAAACTATAAATTCGCAACTTAATAAATCAGTCGTGAACCATAATACAGATTTACTTTTGAACTCTTTAAGGCCCTTTTGCTCCTAATTTACAGGTATCAAACGGTCCCGTTTGATTGAAATACCCGGTGCCGCGAGCGACCCATTATAAATAGTTAACAAACACAGCCCACTCTATCCCGAGGAATCAATCGCAACTCGGTGCCGTGCTTCAAGAAGACGTTTCCTGCACAGCATGACCACCATTTCCAGTTCACAAAAAGCCTTCTGTACACTATGACAAATATCATTTGCTGCAGTCCAGATTATTCTCAAGTTTATATTAAAACATCTTCTAACTGCGTGTACTGAGTCATCTGGTACGTACTGGCAAAGAACATCAAATACTTCTTGAAGATGCATGCTCAAACTTTGATGACCTTCCTAACTTTAAAGCTTTAAATTACTAACCATTAGCTTCAAGTACAGTGTGTGCATAAACTTCAGAGGCAACACCTCCAACTACAGCTTTCATTCTATTGTAACAAACGTGCATGCAAAAAATCGTTTCTGAACTAGATGCAACATTTAAGCAATATTATGGTGAGTGTAAAATGTCGGCCCTCCGACCATCTACAACGAAGTCTTCCATGTGGCAATGAAACCCCTGGTTCCACCGATAAAAAAAGATTTAAGTGTAGAAGTACGTCCTTTCATGAGCTCTCTACGTCAATGATACTTGCGCCCCTCTAGACCAGTTCTGTGATGAATTTAAAATACCCTATAAAGCCCCAACCTCTCCAATCGCCGGATAGACGAGTGAAGGGTAAGATATGGACAAGTGAATCCTGGACCCCAACAGAAGCCAAACGACGAAACGGGCGTTTTATGGTATGTCTCTTGTTAATGCGCATTGCTTACGTGCCAACCCAGAACTTTCTGGCTGAAGAATGAACATTTGTTTACCTCCTCTGGTTCTTACAGATGTCACTCTACCCATGGAGATTAGGGGTTCAGCAATGTCTTCAGCCTTCCGGAGCTGGTTAGCAGGCATGGAAGAGAACAAGACAATTCCCGTGCAAAGGGAAATGACTCATCCAAGATGTACGAAACCACAATAATTATGCGAAGACTCGAAGGGAGTGAATGAACTACACTTCAGGGGAGAGGAGAGAGAAAGCAAATCCTATCAAGCTAACAAAAAATAAAGCTAAAAAAATAAAGCTGATCACTGATCCGTTCACTGATATCAGAATTCATCGTTTCCATCAAACTTCATTGGTCTTTCCGCGTCATCCTATTGTTTTTGCAGTTTAAGCTGGGTATCAATCATGAGCTTGACTGCAAGTTTCGACTCTTCATACAGATTCCATATTGCTTGAAGGTATGGTTTGACGTTGGGAAAAGTTCTTGACCTAACAGCTGAGCTATACATATAATTCTTGGTTTCGTCATGCAATGTCTAAAGCAGAATTACGACAAATCACAAAGTTAATTACATCTTATTTAACTACATGATGCTTGCGATATAACTGCAAAGGGATAACTGAAAACAGTGAGGCTTTTGATCTATCTCATCATCAATAAACAAAAGGTTGTTTCAGCTCATTTCAACTCGCACATCTTCAAGCTGAGGCAAAAGCGTGGCATTTCATAGGTAGGGTTATGAACTTGCCTGCACTCTGTTGTGGGTTGATACCAACACCATCTGCAAGAAATAATACAAGTTCAAATTAGATAAGCAAAGACTTGACAGGGTTCTAATAAATAACTAACTACATATGTCACTGATCAGAACGATTCTCTCAAACACTTTTTTCCCATGGTTCGCCCAAAATTCAGCAAATTGAATTAAAGAACAAATTACCGTTAGTGATGATGGCACTGGTTGATGGCGGAACCTTGAACTCTTCAGCTGCGAATTTCAGCACAGCTGTGAAAGGGGCCTCCTCCGGCACACTGAAACTGCACAAGTCACGCCACTAACGACGATGAATAGGCCTGATGTCTGAAGTTCAAGCCGACCAGCTTCTAAATGATCCGAAACACTAGTCTTGTTGGATGAAGGACAAGCTGGTGTGACCCAACACTTGATCATTGGTTGAGCAGGGATGCCCATTGACGACTGACTCAACTGAATTTGCAGGAATGAAAAGAAGAGAACGAACATACACTTTGTATGGAAGCTTTGGATCGGAGGTCAAGGTCACCTTGAATGAAACCTTTCCACCTGACCTGAAATCAATTACCACAGAGGTCCGTCAGTTTCACCAATATGCTCTGATCTTATCAACAAACAAAAGAAAGGAGAAATAAATCATGTAGCACAGGATCCCCTAACTCATGAAACCTCGCGAGCAAAGGAAGGTTTATGCTCAAGGGAAGCAAATCCCTCCAGCACCCAGAGAAGCCAGAGGATTTTTTCCACACCCCGATTCTTCACAATTCCAATTCGCAAGAATCGTAACATCTTCCAGCTTCCGACAGCTAAGAACCCTCTACAGAGCCTAATACTCCCAAGTGCACTTCCAATTTCATCTCAATCCACGATCAAACAACACATTCAGACCACCAACAAACAAATGATCCATCAAATTAGCCGATCGGTAAACCGAAATCACAGAAGCGAACAGGAAAAGCAAGAGATCCCGAAACCCACATGTTGAAATGCGATCGATGTGCTAGAATTGCCCCACGAGGCCGGCTGCGACGAAGAGCGTGCGATCAGACGAGGCGAAGAAATCCGACGCGGGCGCTGCAGCAGCAGAAGAGCGGAGCAGCAGCCGAGCGCTCTCTGACTCACTGACTCCGTTCACTGTCAAGAGCAGACGCTCCGGAACACGTGAAGGCCTGCCGGTACTGCGCCCACAAGAAACCGGGTTCCACCTTCTTACGCAGTCCTCCCATAATGACGTCGCCGTCGTTATCCGGTAGTCCGCGTCGCGACTTTAGATAGGGTCGCGGTGACGATGCTCGTGCCGTCAGGGCTGGCGGTGTCCGAACTGACTCCTACCTTTGAGGTGACCTGGCCTCCATAAAGGAGAAATTTTCATAATCCTTGAGATCCTACCTTCCACTGCAGGAAAACGCTCGCGACTTTCGGAGTCGGGACCTTTCCTCCAGCGGTCGTCGACTATATCCGAAGGAAGACCAGCATCTGCGGTCCAGGACGCCGCAACCTTGTCTCTGTCCAACAGATCGAGGGTGCAGAACTCTCAGAAGAGTCGTGGTCGTTCCAAAGGTACCGAAAACAAGGACGTCGCGTCGCGACAGGTCGCGGTTGTGGCTTGCGCTGCCGCAGGCGACTGGAGAGCATTTTATGCGACAATCTGCCGGCCAAAAGAGTTCTTCTCCTGCCGTAGAGCAATGAGATTCGTTCACTGGGCATTTTGATGTGATGTCATTCACTTCATGGTAAGTCTCGATCAGTCACCATTGGTGACTGATGGAGTTCGAACGAAAGATGATTCGCCTCACGTGGAGTCGAGGTACAATGACAGGGAAGAGGAGGCCGTCGTGATATCGAGTTCCTGCCTCGGTCTGAGATATATGTCGGTAATTGATGGTCTATCAGATTCACAGAATTACGATAGTTCTACGTTGTGACGTGCCATGGTGCTCCGTGAGGCTCCATATACGAGTTTTATGTCGGGAGCAGCATCAGCATCAGCAGCTGTGAGGAGCAGATCGTATCGAAATGGTGCACTTCACAGCCTCGATGACCACGGACGTTACTCTTTCGCTTTCTTCCACCGACCTTATGAACCCGATAAGCACGGACACAAAAGTTCTGGTGTCATTAGCAACTGCCGGATTTTGCAGGGACCCACCCGTTGTGACCTTTCGTTGCTGATGGAGTGAATTCACGTGGTGTGTTCTCGAGACACCTTCAGAGAGTTTTGACTAGAAGTCGGTCACTGATGTTACTCTCGACGACCACCCCCTGGAATCATAAAAGTTAGACCCTGTGAGCTCTAGAATGGTATGAGTTGGTAGAGTCCTTTGCAGTTTTTGTTCCTTTCCACGCTGAAAAAATCAGAGCTCTACGTCAAGAGTGTTCGCCAGACGATGGAAAGAAAGTAGAAGGGAAAGTCTGCAAAATCTCCTGCGAAATCAGTAAATGACTTGAAATATTACATAATTTTTGCCCTTCAATTCTTGTAAGCATCACTTAACTGAATGTATGTAGAGACCAATAATGTTGGTCTTCATCTAACTCTGTTGTCCATATTCCTAGCAACATTTTTTGAACAGCCAAAGTTTAACTGACTTTGGAATCTACATGTGTCCTAGTCTTATCCGTAACTAGAGTCAATGAAATCATAGTCCAACCGAAAAATAAAAATCAGAGAACAGCCCAACTGATATTGAAATAACTTCATAATGCTTTCTGGCTCAATAACTGTGAGTTCTTTTCTAACGAGTATAAGACGGTGAGGAAGGGTTGTAAGAGTGAGAAGTAGAAAACCTTCTATTATAATGTCGTAAGTTGTAATACTTTGAAATGGTTGTATCAAGTTTGCAATTTGAAAGCACGTCAACAGTTATTTCGATGGATTCAACATGTTGTGCAGTTGTCTACACAACATTTTCATTAGTTTATATCGTTTGTCACCCTAGATATATCATCCAAAAGCTATATAAGAGGAACCTGAAACTTATGTCCTCGAGTAGTTATGATTTTCTCAAGACTTTTTTCAGTGAACAAATATTACTCCCTGACAAAGAAGGAGTTTGATGATTTTGTGTGAGTAATTATCAAAAAATATCGGAATGTTTTGTATGAAGTGTCTTCCATTTTTAGAACAGACCAACATGCTCCTCAATGGTTGCTTCCAGAGCATGAACGAGACTCACAAGGAGTGAGAGTGAGAGTGAAAATCAAGAATAATATAGAATGTCTTGGCTTCAGAAACGTGACCGGTGTTTGAATGAAACATGAGAACATTTGTGGGTCTTGTCATGAGCTCAACACCAGAACTTACAGTAGCGCTAACTTTTTATCAAGTGAATAAATTCTAGAACCACTTCAGTCATTGTAAATATTCTCAGTCTGAAGAAGTCAAGCGGCACCATAAACGGACGCAGTAAGTTGTTAATCGGGTGTACATGTAACCGCCGAACCATAAACCTGGAATTTCTTTCTCTTTTGGTGATTGCTTTCCTTAAAAGTATCATTAGACATAAAGGATGATCAGACTTGCGAGAGAGAATGCATGTGGCAAGGTTGAACTTTCGTTCAATACATTCATTTCCCTCGCAGATTCCTTGACCTTCAGAGCAAATTCATATGAGCTGATGTCAGCGACTACAGGTTACCAGTTCAATACTTTCTTAGAATATATTCCATTTTCATTACAATAGTTTTCATGAAACCTATTGTGATAGGTTGACTGCAATCTCTCGATTAAAAGACTCCTCTTTAGGACTGTATGAGTGATTAGTTCTACATACAAAGTTAATGTCACATTTTCTGTGTCCCTCCTTTGCTTGGTCTTTACAGCATTCCTCTGAGCTTCTGTTTTGGTCTGGTCACTTGAAAATGAGTTAAAAGAAAGGTATGTGAGTATTGAAATAAGAGATTATTTCAAGAAATATATTTCATACACACAATTGCAAAAGAAATAAATAAGATATGAAGTATTCCGGAATTCTCAAGGCTTTTATATTTTTGATCACAAATCTCAGACTTTTCATTGAAAAAAACTTTAAGCTCATTCTCAGAACTTATTTGAATGGAAACCTTTCTTTAACTTCACATAAAAGAGTAATGTTAAAATTGTTAAAACATTGTTTCAGTTTGAAGGTTTGGGAGCTCTTGAGGGACATGCGGAGATTGTAGGCAATGACATTCTTAGTCTGAATGCTCTGCCCTCATTCCTGATTGCTTTCGGTTTCGTGCGTGCCATCTTCGTTAAAGACATCGATAAGAACGAGGCAATAGCGCTTGCTATCTTACAATAGACGTTTTGTGACAACAAAACTTCGGGTAATAAACGGGTTTCACGTAAACATGCATGACTGTCCGTGCTTGGTCCAATAGAGGATTTTGGATTCAATGTGTGGGGAGTTTTGGCTTTTGTGGAGTTGCTTTGGGGAAGCTTTCTTGGGATAGTGACCAGAAGCACAGAAACTCGAAATCCGAGGTTGAAAATATCACAGCGTTAAGATGTGAATCGCACTCAGAGTACTCACTTTCTATATACTCAGAGAAAAATGACTTTTAAATAGACAACGCCTCCTCGACGTTCGGATCTGAAGGAGCTGCACGACCTGCATCAGATAGTTCTGACTAACATAACGGATGATCAGATACTGACTTTGATGAAATGAGTGAGGAGATTCATTAGAGAGGCGGACGAATGGAAGATGCATCTCAAGAATAGGTTATTCCACGATCATCTTTTCTTCTCCATCTTCTTTGAGTTTCTAATAAATAAATATGTAAATTCTCTCTTCTGTTACAACCATAATCTGCCTCTTTATTAGATTGTGTGAAGTGAGCGAAGTCTCTCATTAGAGCTCTTGACCTGGAAATCTGAACTTCTAACGATTTAAAATCGTTATTAAATTGTTAGAAGTTGAGTAGAGTCCTTATACCCTTACTGTACAATACATTGAAATCTGTGACACAGCAGTGCTATTTAATGATTGCCCTAAACCCTAAACCCCGTAGTGGCTAACTAGCCTTGAAACAACAACAATTTCTTCACTCAGGCGCCTTCCTTGGTACTAAACAGTCCGGATTTCCGAGCAATCTGAAGGCTGTTTTTTTCCCTAAGGGGGCAGACTCTGAGATTATTCTATGTATTCTTTATGTAACTGTGGCAACGTCAAACAAAATTTTGAAAAAATGTGTGATCATTTGTTGGTTCTTATGTATGTCGGTTACATTTCAAACGTATTCTAAAACTCAGTTGTGTGACAGCAAAATCTAACTGTGAATGAATACCACCTTGTTTCACGTTAGCGTGTGCAAGAATTAGAGGCTGTCTTAATTCGTATTTCAGTTTTAGTAGAGTTTAGAGTAAATTTAAAGTGAGAGGGTTGGGATAAGAATTGCGGTCGGAAACTTCTCAGCTATTTAGGCGAATGAGTGAAGAAAGGAGTATGGTTTCAAGTCTAGGCAACAGCTATGGAGACTATTTGCACTCCCTTCAATGGCACTGTTATGAATCTGCTGTAATGTGAGGGTAAAGAGGCTGCTTACCAACACATTTCACATGTGTAGAAATTCAGATGAACATATCAAGACTGACACTCATGCAGAATGAAAGATTTGTTTTTTCCTCTTTGCGTGTGTATCATTCTTTATATCTCGGATTATATTTGATACTTGTCACTCCAACAGTTGCTCCTGCCTCCCGGCACAGCACAATTTATAGACACAGGTCTACGACAGGTCGTAATAATGCACCAAAATTCTTAGGGACCTGTCGTAGAAGATGCAAAGGATGCAAAACTTGAAACACTCAAAAGAGTTCAATAGACGGCCAGTGATGGGTAAACTTCAGTAGAAGTATATAACAAGGGTTTACTTTCACGTCCAAGTTTCCAGCTTTGATGCCTTCCACCATCATTGATTCCACATTGAAGGAGCGAAGGTAAATATCTGCTTATCCTGTTGTGGTGCTCCCGTACAGCACGTGTATATACAATTCCTCGACTTTCCATGGATTCACAATTTGTCCTCGAATTTGACTCAAGCCTGCTCTCTATTCAGTAGGAAGGATACAAGGACGAAATGAACATACTCGACATCAAGCTTACCTCATCATTGTGGCAGGGCAGTGGACTGTTCGAGTCTTCAAGCAAGCATATTGACATTGAAACAACAAGAGTAGGAATCGCAGTAAATGCCAAGACTTTCCAGAAGGATGCCCTGGAATTATTGCGTGGAAGTTATGGATATGCTTGCGTGTTGTGTTGTACAAATTCGGGTCAGGGGCTCGACGGGTCTGCAGTGGAGAAGTCTGTACAGTCTTTAAAACCTTGATAAGTGCATGATGATGTGGATACTGAAAAAATTTGGAAAAATGGGGAGAGAACAAGAAATCAAGAAATTCAGGAAAAAGATAGCTGACGGTCAGTATGAGGTTTGCTCGCAGTGATGGAAATACATGACATCCTGGGTATAGTTATTTGGTCCTCTTTCTGACAGAGTTTGGGCATGGAACCTGAAGGATTTCAGGCATCCGTAGTTACTCGAGGTTTCAAACATTGACTGCTGTACCAAAACACGATGAACGATTAGTTACTTGTTCACATGTCGCGTATGTCTGTACATCATCTTTTGAGGATAACTCCAATTTTTGACAAGAGTGATGTCCATTTCGTCGTCTTGAGTGACTGATTCCCTGCATATTTATCGGTCATTCAGAAGCATATGATGGAAGTGCCTGATTCGAAAAGGCTGCTAGGCTCATTGGATGACACAGAGTAAGATGGAGTAACCTACCGGGAGCTTTGACACGTCTATACATATCTGCACGGATTGCACCACAATCTTCCTCCGTTTCTTAAGCTGGCGCCTCGGAGACTGAAACTTGAGATGTGACCAGAGTAAGTTCCATCGACGGAGCTCCTCCACTTCCCAACAAGCGCTATGCAAGTCCCCATTCAAAATTTCTGATCATAATCATAGATCAGAGCACACCGGAATGAGGGATTGTTAGTCTCACTAGATATTCTCTACAACTTGTTACTGCTTCAGATTCGCAAAATCTCAGAATTCACCTTTAGCATTTCGATCAAGACGGGATAAAGACTCTTCGTGGAAGAATCTGTTGTACTGTCCGAGCGCTCCTAAAAACACTTCTGCCTCTGAACAACTGCCTCTGGTCCTCAGGCTTCGCAGATCTTCCATCAGCTTCATGTAATTTCCGATCAATGCCGAGTCGAGCACATCTCTGCACTTCGTCATATCTACTACTGGCTCCGAGCGTACAAGCGTAAGCGACGTTTCACTCTTCCCTGAATCCCACCGTTTGTTCGTCTGATGAGGCTATCTGGAAGAATAGCTGACTAGAATTGTTCCTCCTGGTGCAGATCGATCTGTACAGTGTGTATGAAAATCAACAACCGCAACTGAAAGCGAGCTGTTGGCTGGGATTTTGATCAGCGCTAGTTATTGAACAAGAGAAGAGTTTCAATCGAGGCGCAAGGCTGCCGCTATAGCTCAGGTCGCCCGGTCGCCATAATGGAAGACCTTAATGCATTCCCGAAATTGGGCTCCGCTTATCTACCGCTTGAATTTTGGAGATCTGATGGAATGCAGCACACCTTCCGCATAGTAATGCTGCTTTTCGTTCACGTTTGAACCACGTCGACTGGCGATGTTCAAATTAAAGGAGCGGTGGTGAAGTTCCAGAACATGAAAACACGTAGGCCTCTGTACAAGCCATCACTCAACACGGCTGGCAAGAAGAGATGGACACAACATCGGAGTGAAGAATGAGAGATATCAATCAGTGGGGGAATAGAATCGAGAACTGGATATGTGAAATCGAGAAGGAAATCAAGTCGTGTACTTCGCTCGACTATTGTCAAGAATTGAGATGTGGTGGTACTATGACGAGAAGAAAGGAACTCGAACAAAGCACTCCGGTCGATATTGAAAACCGGAATGACTTTGCACGAGATCGTAAGATGGTAAGGACTCAAAATACACGAACTGGAGTGCAAGCTTGCCATATGAGCGAATTCAATGTCCGCTGGTCGTATCAAAATGGACTACACCGCATGATCCGTCGATCAGCTTCAGGGTCAATACAGGGCAGGATCACAGTGTATGGAGATTCTTGCAATTAGAAAATACAGCACTTGCGTGTCACAGATTCTCTGACTTCTCTGATCGGGAGCCAGTCGACAATTTCTGAATGTTCATGCATTTTATTTCTGTCATTACTGCTCCTTATTGCGAAGAATTGCGAAGTTTAACCATTGTAAGTGGTCCACCATATTTAGAAGAAAAGAAGAAATTAGAGATATTTTTATGAAGAGAAACGAATTAATTATGTTACTAGATATTTCAGTTCAGCAGACCCTTACCACCATCTGACTACTGCGGATTTGCCAGTTGTAATGGTGACATTTTTCTTTGGGGTCAGATACTACAGTCAAGTTGTCTTTGCCTGTAGGTGAGTTTCAAGTGCCCGAAAACTCGGACATCAGAAGTTTGTGGTTGATACTTTAGGGGTATCGGACGCCTCTACATGTGTTTTTTTATTATGCATTTCAAATAATCTATCAGGAGGTAAAATAAGTTCAAAACCAAGTTAGAAAGATCGGTGGCTTCTGAGCATCTGAGGGCGAGCTCAGGTTTCTTTCTCTTGGGAGGTTGTAATATACTCTTCAAGATCAAGCAATATACCTAAAACGGTGGGAAGACCGCATCAGCTTACCTTCTCACATCTGAGTGAGTCACTGCCGGAAACATATCAGTCACAGTTAAACTTATTCTTTAATTCATAGAGTCTGAGGGAAAATGAGATGCTTAACGCGGATATTACAAGTAGTGATTCTCAGGTTTTACTGTATTATAAAAACTCCATCTAACGAGGCTCAAGACTAGGAAACGAGTCGAGGGAAGCACTTCATACTTTGACGAAGCACTGTGTTACTGCTGGGTATATATTGTGGAGGCGAGAATGAAATGGCAGAACAAGAGACAGCCAGTGAGGAGAAGTTATCACTTGATCCTTACTACTATCTAGCTTACAGTGCCAGGTAAAATTCCGCCATATTGAAACATATCTCAGGATGGTGATGACGCAGAAACGCGTTGACCCACCTGACACAAACCATGAGCAAGCTGCCTCATGCGAAGTCTCTCAAATTTATTCTCAAGAATAACCGTCCTTGGCGCTTCTTTGGAGCTCCTTTAGTTTGTAGCTTCTTCACCGAAGGTAGAATCGAATATAAATTCCGAATTCTGTTCCCACAATCTTGTTGGATGGGAGTAAGGCTCACGAATCTTCATTAATCTACGCTCGATGCCAGCCACAGCGAGCACGAAAACAGCAAGCTGCGATGATAACCAGAAGAGACGTATTGCTGACTAGTGCCTGAGATAGACCTCACGTGGTTCTGGCACCTGCTGTCAAAATGATTCTGTTCAAACATTCCCGGCTGCAACCGGGCTTGAGATATCACCTACGCTTCATTCAAAGCCGTCAAAGGACCTGCAACGTTTGCCGGAACAACGCGAAGGGCGGGTCAGACACTCGTGGAATCTGATTGGAATCTTTCCAGATGTTTCTCTTTTCTACAATTCAGATTCACAGTCGCCACTAATAACCTCAAGTTTTATACTGTATATAGCTACATCAGTATTCCTGTTTTTTTTCAAATAAATGAAAAAGATTCCTCGTCATTTATTTTCTCAAGTAGACAGAAGCAGACCATATAGTAAGTTTCGAGAATTTCGTTTCCGAAGGCGATCTCCAAGTGCCTACTTGTTGCGGGAGAGGGGAAGTGGGCGAGATAAATATCAATTAGGAGAAAAAACTTCGCACCTTGTCAAAATTCCTTCATTCAGGGCGTGGTCTTGCTTGGCCATGGGCTCAGGTCGTATTCAAGAGGTTTCTGCCTCGTACTCTTCATCCGACTGTGGCCTGAATTATAAACACTAAGTAATGTTTGTTGATAAACAGAAATACATGGTACACTGAAGCCATCTGTCCCCAGACTGAGTTGAATTGATTCTCTGATTATGCTCCGAATTTCAGAGTATGTCCCTCCTTCTGGGCTTGGCCCGTTCGTTGGCTCCATCCCAACTACAAGGACGGAGCTGTCAGGTCTCGTGGAATTTGGCCACTTCCTCTCGACACCACCCCAAATATCGCACACAAATAACGAACAATCGCCAGGCAATGGGAAGGAGACACTGCTCGGCGATATCTTATCAATCGACGGTCTATTACGACAAGCGGCCTGAATTGAACACTGTACCATCTGTATAGTTGGCGCTAGCAGTCAGTGGGTGATAGAAAAAGCAGTACTTCAAGGGTAAAACAGCGAGCATCAGGAAGAGCTCAAGCAATATTGGCTTCACGTTCGGTACCAACGATTTTCTCTACCGCAGACCAAAAAGGTTTGCAGCCGCCATAGAGGCAAGTGTACTAAGGTCTGAGCTGCTGACAACTGTTTGGAACATTCGGTGCTGCTAAATCTTATTTGCAAAGCTGGTCTCACAATTGTGAGTTATGTATTTAAAATAATTAATACTTATGAAGAATGTGGTTCATATTGAGATTGAATTATAAATAACGCAAGATATGATTACACTCCTCATTAGTTTTATATATGTAAAAATCATTGAGATGAACAATCGTAAACGATTTTTTCATAAAACTATGCAAACATCGTCTTCAAAGACAGAATGTCTAGAAGATATCGTTTGCTTTTCATCCGAATCTATTTTCGCAACAACTAAAATATTTCGGACTTATCAAGAGTAGAAAGTATGGATTTAATATTCAACACCTCGCTTGGTCATATATTCTCCTCTATCTTACGCATTAAATTCTGTATCTCCAGATACACAGCATGACGTCTAACAACAGAGTGTCTACTAGAGTTTACTGATGGTATCTTGATTTATGACAGCTTTCTCGATGGTCTTCGTGGACGAAAAGACCTGGGACCCAAAGTTTCTAAAGTCTAAACTAGTGGAAGAATATATAACAAAGATAACTAAGCATCAAGGATATGTAGATAAAGTCATAAGAAATGCACATAATATCAAATTAAGTATTAATTTTAATATCATATATATAATCTTAGAGTAGATGAGACCCCAGAGCCGCTAGCAAGGGCATCGACTGACGTCCCGACACCAAAGAGATAGTCGACGAACAGACAGGTTCAATCTGACAAGATGAACAAGTCAATCTGTAAGGATTCAGTTCTGATCATCTTCCTCACGTTCTGTTTTCTGCTTGCAGAGATCGGCTGCTTTGAAAGAATCCGAGCGGTTCATTCAAGGTGTTCAAAGTCAGGAGCACAGAGTACGCATAAGCTCCGGAGAAGCACAAATTGCTCTGTGATTTACTTCTGACTCGACGGTCTAGGTTGCAAGCGACGGCCTGGAATGCATGTAGACCATGTCATGTGTACGTTCGGCGCCAGCAGCCAATGATGCAACGACACAGAGCAGCAGTGCAGGGCCATAGAGCGAGCAGAGGTGAATGAAGACCCATGACGCCAATGACATGCTCATGAGCTGTATGTTCGGTTACCTCCTCGTCCGCAGAGCAAAAGAATGGGGCTGCAACAGAATGAAGAGTTTCTGACATCTGCTAGGAACACTCAGTGCTTTCTAAAGGGGCTCAGCACCAGCAGTACAGACATTCAGCTCACGAGCTCTTCTGAAGAAGACAGTCATTATTCTTCTCCGATTTTCCTTGTCTTTGCTTATCTGCAAGCATCACGGACATGTACACAATCATGTCATGATTCGTAAAGGTCCGAACTCACATTCCGTAATGCTACAAATTATGACTTTTACAGAGAACGAGCTTCTAATGCAAGACTAATGCCTTGCTCTAGGAGGTCACTTTGAGTCTGGGCAGCATCATTAAACGGTCTGTTACTGTCCACAAGACAAAGATGTACCACGAGCGGAAACTTGTGAACTTTATCATTTTGATGTTTTAAAGCATGGTAAACTAGAGTTGATGGTAGAATATGGTAAGCTAATGGAAGGTGCACGCAGGCAAGAGATTTTCAAACCTACCCCCACATCCGCCATTTCCCTACACATCGTCACAGACTCGCCACTTTGATTCTCAATTTCTTGAGGCGGCCTCTCGGAGTGTGAAGTTTGACGTAAAACACTCTGGTCTGCTTCCAAGGATTTCGTGTACTGTTTTCTTGGCGTCATAGAGGTCACTCTTTAATAAATATGAACATGAATACTTATAAATTTAGATAAATATAAATATCGGTTTGTTGATCTGAAACCTTAAATATCTCAGCATGGCTGAAACCTTTATTTAAGGTTTCAGCCATGCTGCGCATGCAGCTCTGATGACAGAAAGTACAACAACATGTGAGACGAAGTCAACGCATCACGTCATGTGACTGATTCTGATCCACAAGAGTGCAATAGTGTTACCATGCAAAATTTCAGGAACAGTTGCCCAATAATCCTCGCCGACAAAAGGTCAATAGGATTTTAGAACATTCCGAAACTATTGTAACTCTAGCATTTCACCCAGACTGCTGCCTCATGAACTTCGGATAAGTTGCAGCAGATCATCGTAGAGCTCGAAGACGCCCCAAGAAATGCCTCTTTGTTGATGACATTCTGTTACTGGTCTTCCTAGTGTCAAAGAAATCTTAAATATATCACGTTTTCTTTCAACCGATGAAGCTCTCTTCCCCAAAGCTGACCTTACCACGGAGCATACCAAAATAAGACACAGTACATTCGGTTTGGCAGGAGGGTTTAGGAGTTCAGGTAATCTGACAGTTACTGTGCGCTTAAATAAATAAATAAAATAAAATATATAATTAAATATATGTATATATATCGGATCTCTTGCCCGTCCACTCAAACTCCCCCGTTTTGTCGCAGTCTGGTCCACGCTGATGTGATGCAATACTAAGGTTGGTGTTCTTCTACTGCGCCATACAACGTCCAGTTGAAAAAGGTCTTCAAAAACCAAATCATTGTCACCCCGTACCTGTGGTCAATCTCCCATGTCCAGATATAGGCTCTTGTGCGTTTTACAACCACAGCCTGTTGTCAAAGGGAAGCAGTTGCACAAAAAACTTCTGAAAGTGGGGGAGAGCAAGCTGGACAAACCCCAAAGGAGAATGGCTTGGCATGGAATTTCAAGTCCACGAAAACCGTAAAAGGCCCAGGGACCATTGATTCCATTTAATTTTTCTGAGAAATTGCTGTCTGCTGTAGTATAATTTTTGAACAGTCATGGAAATATAGATTACACGCACATTTTCAACGCTGTTTATTTTCTTCACTTGTAAGTTGCTCATGTGAATTTTCATGTGATGGAACTAAAATTCAGAAATAAGTGTGCGGGGATGGAGATTGCATGAAGGCGGACTCCAAAATCATTTCTCAAAATCATTTTATTTTTGAATATTATCCCAAGAATTTGAAGAAACGATCATGGACTTCTGCATGCTATCAAGGAAGTTTGTAGTGTTAATATAAGCCTAGTCTCGCCTCCAAGGTGGAATTCTAGCTAGTTATCATGGTGGGGTTCTAAAATTTCTCTACACGACTGAGTCTCGTCAAAAGTTGGGAAATCTTTAATAATCTGGCGGAGTACTTCTTCGTTATTCGTCGGATTGTGACTGCATGTCAAATTAAGTACATGGGAGATTTTGAAAGCCTCAATAAAGAAAACTATTTGGCGATCTTGTCCTATTGGGGCTAGCCCCGTCTTATCACTTTGGTTTCATCCGAGCTAGAATGGATAAGTTCTCTCTTAAGCCAAGCAAGAGGCTTCCTCCCGTATTGTCCTCCCATTTCCTATCCCATCTTTGCAATGTTGCTTGTTTCAAACCAGATCTTGTAGATCCATAGTTATCCGTTACTTGTCATTACCAATAATCAACCCATTTTCTCGTAATCAGCACAAACGTAGGAGAAAGCCGTGAGGTGCAAGTCCCTCTGGATAAAAGAGTAATGTACGAATGCTGATAATCCACCTGCCCATGACTTTTGAAGCCTGGAGAAGTTTTATCACAACTGAGATAGGCGCAATTCTAGGCTGCGCAATAAGAATCGGTTTGAGCTACTTGATCTGATATCAGCTTCTGACTTGAGGACTGAACGTTTTCCCATCGCTTATGATTTCCAGATCATGCCTTAACTAATCAGAAGAATACTTTGATACGCGTGAATGACGAGTAAGTGGTGCAGAGTTGACCTTTGCGGCCTGCCCTGTCTCGTCTCAGAATGCCTGACACCGAGGTCGAATATGTGGCCTTTGTCAAGCGTATACGGCGGGAACAGTGGTGCAGAGTTGACCTTCTCGACCTGCTCTGTCTCGTGTCTTAATTTCCAGATGGTCAGCGAGCGAGACTACCTCTTTTCTCTGACTTCTTTCTAGCCCTCGGCCTGGGTTTCTCTCTTCTGGCCTTTTTTGGCCTCTGTTTTGTATCGCTATCGCTTTTTAAATTCCACCTGTCCTCCACCTCGTCTGGGTCCTGGTAACACTCTTCGACGTATTAATATTCAATGGATTGAACAACAGAAAATCGAATTATACAGCTTTCCATCACGTTGCCAGGTCAACTTCCAGGCTTACTGAAGCTTAAGGAAAGTAAAAGACGGGCCACATGACAGTGTTGCGAAGTATGGAGGCAGGGTGGTCCACCATTGAGAAGAGATATTGTAAGCCGTGTGTTCGATCCTGCTATGAAGAAGGTCGAGGTGCGCTCTTGCAAATATTGTAGATCAGTCGGTTCGCTAGGTTCATTCCTCCTCTTGGTTTTGCAAGCAGAGAGATTACAAAAACTCGTTGTGCCTCTACGTTTGGCCTTACAGCACGATTTTGGTAATGGTTAACAGCAGGCCTATGGTAGATATGACAGGAAATATGGAAGATATGTCTTACAACCCTGTGTTTTCTCAGGTCTACGTGAATCAAGTTCCCGTTCTTTTATTTGGACCTAACATTCTTTTGAAGTATGGGCAGTTACCTTCACTCACGTGCTTTACCACGCAGAGTTGAAATTCTTTGATAACTATTTTAGACCGCTCAGGAACTATTTACTTTCACTTCGTCACGTTCTTCGCTTCTTTCTTGCCTTCCGCTGTGTGTTACATTTCCTCCTTGCAACAAGTTCTTTAGAACAACAGAACTTGTTGACAGGATGAACTTTGTTCCATTTTTCGACCAATAAATGTCTCTAAGTGCCCACTTTCATGAAAATCTGTATCCCTTGCAGCTCTCTTTGATTTCCATCATAACCATTTCCCTTATAGCAAGTCCTGCTGACTCCGTTGCTTATACTCTTCTTAATAAGAGTAGAATGTGCATACATCTAAATCTGTCGATCAGTATTCTTTCTGAGCGATTAGAGGTGACTGACAACCATATAAGCACTCTTCACCATCACAAGTACTTTATTTTGGTGTCTTCAGACTACAATTAATTTCTGATGAGACACGTGCGCTCTTTATGTACGTTTTAATGTTTTTTTGCTTAGATTCAGGATACCATGAGACTTCAGAAGGCAGGCACAAAACACTGGATTCTGTTAAAAAAAGTTGGCTTTGTCCTTTCCGTATACAACGTTCCAAAAGTCACCGACTCAAACACCAAACTTTTACAACTTGTCTCCCAAGTTCGCTGTGTGTGGTAATTTCGAAGATTTAGATGAAATACGTTCTGTATTAAAGATATGGGGGATATCCCTCATAATAAAAACTGGATAGATCGTGTTCCTATGAGAACCACAAAACTACATGTGTTTCATTTTCTGATGGAAGAGCTTTAAGTTACTCTTTGCCCAGCTTCGCAGTTGTTAATAAATAGACAGTTTGAGAAGAAGCCTACGAAGGCTTCAGGGGGAAGCATAAAAAACTTCAAAGCTGGTGCTGGAACTGGAGGCGTTTATTTCGGCCTCCAAGGGATTTTCAGTAATATCTTCGGCTAACGTTGATGTGCAACTTGTAAATCTGATATCAATTCTGGGTGAAAAGAAAATTTCTACTAGACGAAGAAGTCTCGAGTAAGACAGGATATATTCGATATTTTTTAGCCAACCTATAATTCAAGTTGTCTCGCGTGCTCTTCCCGTGATTCTTGACGGAGTTGGAATCTGCAGACACGCACTTACTCATATATACCGTGACGAGTAAAGCTCTCAGTTGGGATAAAGAAATGACGCAGAATAACCCCCAGTACTGAGACCTCAAGCTATCAATTCTGGTAAAAATCGAAGAGCTCGGAACAGGACCATATCAAGATGGATCGAACTGCTTTAAATGGGTTTAGCTGCTAGCTATGAATCAACCTCCTTCTAAAGAACAGTGTCGGGTCACTTGCACTGGTTACGTCTTCCTTCTCTTTCTTACAGAGGTTAATGATGATTCTGAAAGTTAGCAACGATCAACTGACAAGCCAGTCCGTACTGTACATGATGCAGTCAACACCACCACATGCTCTAATGTCTTCTTCAAGTGCGACTCGCTTAGTTGCACAAACTTTTACTTTTACCACGCCGTCCTGCCAGGTGTCAAGGATCCCAGTTTCTTTCTCCTCTTTCTTTCTTCATGCTCCCTTTGGGCTGCCCCGAGTCAGCCGGATTTTATCTTAGTTTTGGGAACGGGGAGGCGGGGCACTTTGCGGGAAGGCTCGGTGGACCCTACATTCCGGCAACCATGTAGAGGCCCTCAACCGGATGAAATTCCAACAACCATGTAGAAGAGAGGCCGTCACTGTAGAGGCCGCAACGTTGTATCTAGTGCATTGCAATGATCTACGCCGTAACAATGATCGCGGTGGTGTCGTGGAACGTTGCGGGAAATAAAAACTAAAACTGAACCGCAAGAGGTATAGCTCAGATGGAATACCTAATGTTCAAACTGTAGTATTTGTAATCATACGGTGATAACAAATTGAGGCGACAAAATTTTAAGCGGCAAAGATTAGGGTTTTTAAAAATAGAATCACATCGATATTCTCCAGCTCGTCGTTTCGACGTTGCTTTTGGGTGCCAGTGTCAGTGCTTTGAGGAGCTCGTGCCAGAACTCGTGCTTGTACTTTTCTTGTCATTTCAGGTGCTTTTTGTAGGTGTGGTGACAGCATGGAGGCAGGATGGATTGTGCAGTACCCTACAGCGTCAAGGTCAAGGCTTATCAAGGTCGCGAAATGTTTTTGGCAGTTGATGTAGTACACGTTTGAAAGTTGGAAATGTAGTACACATTTTTGTCGGCACGGTACTAATTAAATTCCCGCTTCTTAGTAACTGGTCAGCAAGTGAAAATCATTCCATTCATTCGACGGTTGCTTCAACCAGGAATTGATTCAGCTCGCAAACCTGACTACCTTCAGAAGGCCTCACTTCCTCTGACGTTTGTAAGTAAATCTCCTAGTTGTACCATTTAGAAACAATGTTTCAAATCCCGTCTGATGCACATGCAAACTGTTTTCAGCAGGAATTGCGAGAAACAGCCTTCCCGATTGTATCTTTACCTCAGATGAGAAAGGTATTGGTATTGTCTAAACCATATATCTACGTATATACAAGTTTAGTGTTTGTAGCTTGGAACAGATTCATCAGGGTTCAATTTTAGCTTGAAGATCCACTGAAAGGTTTTCCTTCTCTCCCTGCTGACGGATCTCCAAAGATCTCTCACGCCCAACTACCATTCTTTTAATGAGAATGCATCTCTTCGGAAATTGCTATGTACTATATGGTGCTATTTTTTGAGCTCATGGGCTCCTTCAAAGATACTGTTTCCAGGGTTAAGTCTGGGAAGGTGCTAGATTTGCTCTTGCTCGCTTGGACTTAGCCGATACTCGCACTAGGCATGTAGTTGTCCAGGACTCAACATCATGTCCATATTGCTGATGGAAATTGTATACCATATTACACTGTGATCGTTTCTCTTATTCATTACCATCATAATTAATGGATGACATGTATAAGTCGGTTTTAAACAAATCAATGAGAAAGCAATATGGAAAACACGTGACTCTTAATTCTCAAGTTCACCAAGATGCACTTGGGAGTTCAGGGTTGTTTAATAAGTTCGATATCAACCAGGATTCAATAGCCAACATTGGACACGGTAAGAACTTTATTTTATTGGCCATCTTTGTTACGATTGTTTGTTAATATTCACACTAAATTACATTTTGTCGCTGTATCTTTTATGACTAACGCTCAATGAGACAATTGGGTAACTTATGCAAATTTCACCTTTTCAAAGAGAATAAGAATACTCAGGATGCCTTGATGATTATTGGCCGCATGCTTGGAGTGCAAGTGAGTTAATTAGATCCATAAATATACATTTCGGCTCTATACTAACTGAAATACAAGCTTAAGGAGCCGCATTTCATGAGAAATGTGATTGCTCTTCAGTTTTGTTGGACAGCTTCAGGCTTTGAAGATGACAATGAATTTTGTTTTCGCAATGTGTTGCAGCCAAAATCGTTTTCCTTTGCAGGTACCAAAGACAAACGAGCCGTCACTACGCAACAGGTATCTGTAGCCCTTTTTCTGAACTATTCAGTAGAATTAATTGTTTTCATTTTTGAGGTTCATGCGTTCGTGTAAGGTGAACGGGTTCATTATGCATACACAAACAGGTATTAAACTGAGGCTTTCTTTGCCTCCTATGAATGAAAACTTTCGAGTCTTCAAACTACTGCTCTTTGTACTCGTTATGTACATTGGAGGGTCAAGGCGTTTTATTCAGAATTCCAAGTACAGAATTAGATTGCACGTTTCTTTTATACTGAAACTCTTTTGTTTTCAGGTAACTGTTTACAAGCAACCCGCAGCGAAATTGCCTCTTCTTAACAAGAAGCTTATGGGAGTAAATTTGGTAACTTCAGGTGAATTCCCTACTCGCTTCAATCTTACTCTCCGTATAGCAGTTGGACTTTAGACTCTGCATGTGAACCCTTTTCATTTTCTTAAAAAGTCTTTTGTGTCATCTCCTTTGTGTCCATTGTTGTCGATAGTATTCACTGTTTCCTTGAGGCTTCAAAATCAAAATCATACAAGGAAGATCGTGATTGAAAGTCTTACGTTTATCTCTCATAGTTAACTACTTTTTCTATAGTCCTCTAAGATATCTTTGTGTTGTCTTGGTTTATTCAGCAATGAGAAAGTCTCAAAGCGAGGCGATGAGCTTCTTAAACGAAAGACGACTGGTGTTAATTTGGAAGATTCAACACTCATACGACGACTTTTTACCATCTACTTAGGTGGGGATCAGGCTAAAACCATTTGGAGTAATTTGATCTTCTCTGTACAGTCAATTTCAGATGTGTACGGATAGTGTAAGCTACCGCATTGAAGAGTTATTTTTTGTGTTTCTTTAAAGATTCAACTTCATCTTTTCCCTACTGTGCATCTCAGGCACTGTAAGTAATGCCATAATTGAGGCATATAAGTAATATCATACTTTCATTTACTTTCTCCAGCCGAAAGGTACGTTTATCATTTTGCAGAAGTTTAATGTTCTGCTACCGTTAACATAGAGCATCATTTGAAGATTTCTCAAGTTTCTACTGGTCAGGTACTCGGAGTATGTGTTGAATCAATGTCTTTGTTGAGTTCTTCAGGGAGTTGCTTGTGAAGTGTAGGCCAAAACCAAGATTATGATAATTTCTTGAACATTTTTTTCGCTTTTTAGGCATCGATTCACTCAGTAGAATCTTTAAGGTAGTCTTATCAGTTTCTTCTCTTATTGCAACTCTCAGAACCTCGACAGAAGACTCTTGACTAGCATACGGCATGCCAAATGCTCCAGTTGGTACTGAGCTTAAAACCCTGAAACCTTGACTTCTTGTTGCGAGCCAGCGGTGTAGTGAGCAGTCATGGCGGGAGTATTTGGGGGCGAAATGGAAGATGCGATATTGGATAGGCACTATGCGAAGGTGCCACATGTCACCAAGGGCGGTAGGCATAACTGGAAATGCCTACTGCAAGGTTGTCCTTTCCTAGGAACATTTTCCCAAAAAAATTATATCAAAAAGCATTGGAGGAAAGACCATGTGGACTGTCATCTCCAAATTACTCAGAAGCTTCCACCTGGACCAAAGACGACTGGAGTTTCTAGGAAGGGTGACAAGAAAGAGTTGATTGACTCTTGTGACAAGCATTTTGGTAATTTTTGTTAGCGTTGGATCAAGCACAAGCAAGATAAGTTTGACTTCTTTCGAGCCAAGGTATGCAATTCTTCCGTGGCAAGTTTTTTTTTTCTATTTGCATTGTTTATTTTAAATTGAATTCATGTAGATTTTCACAAAATTTTTGATTTATTATGTTCATATTGCAATAACCGTATATATGTTGCAGAAATGACAGTTTGAGTTGTGTGTCCAGATTATTAAGGGGTATTTCGACCAAAAGATATATTCTCTAATGACGGGAGAGGATATAGGAGAATTGGAGGAACCTCCGGTGATTTTGAGGGCTATGAGACTCGTATGCAAGAATTTCCTTCTAGGCTGGGAAATGTTGAAAATTCCAGAGTTTACAAATTTTGTCTTTGATCATCTTGACAAACTACTTGATCCCTGTAAGAGAAAGGCACAGTTCGTAGATTCTATTCAAGAGTGGGTGAAGGGAGAGCAGGCCAAAAACAGAAGGAGCAGTCAACGGTGAGGTATGAAGAAGTCGGAGATTGACATTAAAGAAGTTGAAGCCATGGAAGATCTCGTGGTAATCTTGAGTGCAGATGACAGTTGCAGCGATTTGAAAGCTGAGGCAAAACAATGGATAGTATTCTCTGGTAAGTACAGTTGGATTGAACAATCCAACTGGAATCCATCTTTGGAATGTAATGAACGAATAATCTTGAAATTTCTGGATTATCTCTATAGTCCAACGGGCAGGAAAGCTAAACTTGATCTTGGAGAAACCGTTCTGAGAGGTCAAATGAAGCGCATGGCAGACCTAGGTAACATCAAAGATGAAGAGACAGCTCGGATAAAAGTCAAACATTCTTACTCCTGACGTAAAGATTTTCCAATTTGTAATGTTTATGTTACAATTACAGATATTGCAATTTGGATATGATCTAAGAGTATTGTGCTTGTTATTTTTTTCAGGGTGAGATTTCAAAGTCAGCTCTTGATGAATCAGAGATGTATGGTTCCGTAGAGCCCATACAACCATTTTTTATGTCTGTACATATATCACAGGAAGTTGAAAAGTGGGGAGCGAAGGTTGAAGTCAAGATGATGGATGCAAAAAAACGAAATCTTCTCTTGGAGTGGGGAGCGAAGTATACGGCATACGAACTTAATACGACAGACGCCTCATATAAGATCCTTGTCAGCACACTTCAAAACAAAGGATCGGTAAAATGGGTTGTTGCTGCCAACAAGTGGTGGAATAAAGTTAAACTGTTTGCAACAGCGATGTCTCTTGTTAAGGATCTTAGCAAAGGACCAGAACATGATCGCGGCGGGAAACGTGCAAGTAAGATCGTTCCCAAGCATTTTCTTTGAGCTTTAATTTTAATTGAAATATGTAGTATCAAAATGATAATATCTGCAATTGGGTTGCTGTTATTACAGATAGGAGAACTCGTTCTTCAGATGGTAAGATGGATGTAGGCGTCAAGAGAAAGCCACATGGTGAGAGGACACGACGTGCTAACATATGGCGATGAGTTGAAAGTCGTACGTGGACTTCGATACTGGTTAGTTTCACTTACAAAAGTCTTCAATGGCAATTTTCAGACCTGTTTTTTTTTCCACTCTACCTAGATAGGCTCCAATGTGGCTCGAAAGAAGTGGTATGGGGTTTTTTCTGCTCATTTTTTCCTTGTAGTTGGTGTACTTGTCCTACTTTCGAAGAGGAAGCGGATAATTATATCTATTTTGAATCGGTGTTTCAGATCGCTATGCTTTTGCTTCAGTAACCATGGTAGTGTAGTTGCTTCATTCTGGAACTCAAAATCTGCTGATGTCAGTCTGAACTGGATCCTTAACGTATGGTTATCCTTAACGTATTCATAAAATCACCGTTCTTGGATTCTAGGACGGTAGATCAGTATCTGATTATAATTTTGCTTTTTCTGATACAGCTTTGAGGGTGCCAACGAAGGATGCAAGTGCAATGACAAGTCCTCATGCATCCCTTGCAATTGCAAATGAGAGAAAACACCTCCAAATTATGCTGTTCATATTCCACAAAGCAGCAATGCACGAAGCAATCCACAAAGCAGCAATGCGTCGGAAATTATTGTTTGATGAAAACATTTACAGCTTGTTCATCCTTTGCCATCTATTTGGCCTAGTTTTTGTATGTGTTTCTGTTAGTTAAGCGCTCCTTTTACCTCAGTTTTTGACTGAAATTATGTATGTCTTGTATTGCATATCTTGTCCTTTCAGCTTGTTCCATGCCCTGCGCTCCAGGATCTTGTCACTTACTTTTAGTACGTATCTCCAGTCCTTTTCCGAACATGTAGATGAAGCTCATGGCCTGTGCTCGATACATGCATCCCTCCCGCTAAATGTTATTCGAGTTTAGTGACTTGCATCCGCTGTGCATTTCCATTTGTATACTGAATGCCAAGATAGTTCTAGTTCTGATAGAGTATGGAGAGTCTCACAAACAGTGCGAGAAGAGGAGCCGTGCTGAGCTTAAAAAGGTGAAGGTGGGACGTTCAGTCGACTGAGGACGATGAGCTGTAGCGAAAGTTTTGCAGATCATGTATGCAGTGGCTTTAGGACGCACTCATCACTTTCTGGAAGTTTGACTGTGCTTTCAGTTGACAGTTTACAGCTTTAGAGTTTTAGTATCGGAACAAAATTGGAACAGAGCTACATCGTACACTGCACATTCACTTTTCTGTACACTCGGATTTTTCTACAGTCTCAGAATTATTTGAATTAGGAATTTGAAGCCTTGGAGGCTAATTTTGAATCTTTTTGTATTGTGAGATGTCAGCGTGGTTTTTTAGTACCAGTTTGGTTCATGGAAGCTGTAAGTTAGGAGATAGCCAATCTACATGGTGGCACACAAGTTGAAAGCAAAAATATAGGGTCACATGAAAGAGAGAGAAACATACCCAACAAATCTAGCTCAATGATAAGAGATACAAAGAAAAGGAATCGGGACTACCTTCTCCATAAAAAGTCATTTCTTGTTCAAACAATATCCCCCGCATAATTATGTGTGTTTATATTCCTACAGAACTCTCATGACAAAAACAAGAAGACGTATACAGTACTTTTGTCAGAATTTGGAGATTTATTCTCGAACTCAATGTAGGATCACACTAAACCCTACATCACAGTATCATGTGTAAATCTGACAACATAAATAAAGTCAGCAGAAGCATCTGCTGTAAGATTTTTGGTCATAGGTGTGTTCTGTGAACTTACTGCATGTTTAAGTGAATTAAGTTGGACCTTGGACAGTAAGTATGGAGAGTAGTGAGAACTGATTCGACAGAGGTATGTAATAGCCAAAAGTGTGGCGAGTTCCAAAGACAATTCTTGTCTCATCCGACAGAAGTTGCCAGTTATTGAAGCCGTCATTGGTCTGGACCTTTAGTCGCATTGATTCATAATTCATCCCACAAAATGTCATATAATTGCTTCTGTTATCTGACTTTCCTCATTGCAAAATGCTCATTTCTAGGCAAGATGGACGATTATAATCAGTCAGGTCCTGAGCTATCTACATCCAGCAAAAACTCAAACTATCTCGAAACTGCAACTGTAAATATGCTAAACGATTATATGCTCTAATATGTGACTATGTTACCAATTATGCAAGTCACACAGCCATCTGAGAGCTTATAGGTGCACTAGACGTCGGCATAGGTGACAAAGACAACATTCTGATAGTCATACAAAACTTTAAGTGAATCTACTTCGAGATTGGACATGCCTATCAGAGGTCTCACACTGTAAGTTTCAGTGCACATCGAAGAGTTCCAAATCAAATTGTTCTGAACCTTTAGTGTTCAGATACAGATATCTGACAGATACAGGTAGAAAAGTGTTCAAGATAGAACTATTTACTGTGTATTCTTCACACGACTCGCTTAGTTGCACAAACTTTTACAAACGGCCGTACTATACAATATGTTATCACCGTTTGATTACAAATATTACAGTTTGAACACTAGGGATTCCATATGAGCTATCCCTCTTGCGGTTCAGTTTTAGTTTTTAGTTCCCGCAACGTTCCAAGACACTACCGCGATCATTGTTACGGCGTAGATCATTGCAACGCAATAGATACAACGTTGCAGCCTCTACAGTGACGGCCTCTCTTCTACATGGTTGTTGGAATTTCATCCGGTTGAGGGCATCTACATGGTTGCCGGAATGTATGGTCCGCCGACTCTCCCCGCAAAGTGTTCTTAAAGTCCATCGTTAGATCCGTCCGCCGGAAAGCGGAGTGATCTAGTTCAGTCACTTTGATGCTCCACCGGAAAATTGAGTGCCAATGAAAAACCTGCCCG